CCTGACGGCGCCGATACAATGTGTTTACTGGCGCTCTTCGTCGCGACCCTCACGACCATAGTGTGTGTTTGCTTCGAGCGTTTGTCGGCCGAGTCTGTAGTGGTAATGAGGATTTCTGTGAAGAGGTTGTGGGATCTGCGTCAATATCAACCGCACAACCGCACAGCAAAAACAGCACCGCAAAACAGCACAGCAAAACAGCACAGCAAAAACAGCACAGCAAAACAAAACAGCATCAAAATCTTCTTCTGCTCCATGAGCCTGCTGTGTGTGATAGCTGCTGTTTGCTGAGCCTTGGCTGGACGCGTCTTGTCACGATGCGCCGGCAGGCGGAATGGGAAAGACTTACCTTACAGTAAGTCGCAACTTTTCTGGCCCCTCCAGTATCAGTTTGTCCGCTAGTACATTCGTTCTTGCGAGGTTTGTCGACGAGTGAAGCCTAGTCCTTCATCCCGTGCACCGTTACAACTTCTGCTGGTGCCGGCAGAATGTTGGGATTTCGTTTTCATGGAATTTGGCTTCGGTTTTCCCGAAGACAGGAGCTCGTTTTTGTGTGCCGGTTCAGCGTGTAGTGTCCGTGTTTTGCATGCAATCGTAATTGGCGTTTATAAAGTCAATATGGGTGAAAATGGGCGTGGTGACTGCATAGAGTGGGCGGGACATTTGGTGGGATTGATTGGAGAACCCAATGAGAATAAATTACACATTGCAATAGGGATTTAGATCGGCAACTGTAAGTCAAACCACGATCGAGCAACGTATGAGCATTAAACGGGCTAAAAAACCCATCTTATAAGATCTGGTCGAGTCGACGAATTTGGTCGAGAGTAGTTGCAGATTAAACGATAATATTGAATATAGGGGGAAATGATCATTTTGGTCGATGAATAATTTTCGAGGACTATCGGAAGTGAATTGTGTTGGATCAGTTTAATTGATCCCGCGATGAAATGACCCAGTTGTCAGGCTCTCTTCACATCATTATATGTAATATACTACCTGTGATCGCCAACCTCTATAACCGTTTTGGCTCTTTCATATCAAGTATCATCGCACATGCTGATACATTCGATGTCGATAATGTCGACATCGAAGAAGTTGCTTTTAGCAGTAGCGATGGCGCTGCTGCTAACTTAGACAATGATGACGATGCTGGATGTCTCAGCATCGTAAACGATTATTCCAGCGAGGAAGAGGACAACCTCGCTGAAGAAGAGAAGATATTCTTAGCAGTGCGCACGAAGCGTACTGAAAGACAAAACAACGAGTCAGCAGAGAACTTCCTACTGAATCGAGAGGCGGTAGTCCGTTTCGTTCAGGACTCCATCGCAAATGCGGTGGACCGCCAGAAACGGAACGCAGAAAAGAATGGAAGAGCAAATGCTCTTTCGTTTAAGGGTAACGACCTAGTACTACTGTCTACGGTAAACTCACCTGGAAATGTAGTCACTAATGTCGGCAGTAGTAAACTACTGACGAAATACATTGGTCCCTTTCGTGTATTGCACCGTAAAGGCAATGCATACACGATTGAGTTGCCTCGCAGGACGCTCACGCATCCTACGTTTAATGTTGGTCGTCTCCGCCCGTACTATCAGCACGAGGCCACTTCCGAGAGCGGAGATGACCAGCATATTCAAAAATCCCCCACAGATTCTTGTGATCACTAACCAAACACTCAAGTTGGTTCTTCAACAACGCAGTCTCGCGACGGGCTGCCGCTAGCCCGTCCCGCAAATGACGCTTCTCGTGTTCGTTTTCAAGCTGAGCAAACGCGAATTCCGATCGGTCTTTCTACCGATCGGTACGGAGACGTCGTACGGTCTCCAACAAGTCGTGTCGACAATCGTATTCGTAATCGACTTCCTCCCTCAACTCGGTCAAGTAAAGTTCATGGTTACCCAAAGTCTCATGCAGGACCGGTAGCTGAGCCGGACCTTGTCTTTCCACCACCACAGAAGCCACTGGCGTATTCTAACGGTGGTCGACGCTTTAACGTGGGGCGTATCCTGATCCACCGCGTGACGAACGGGGAGCGGACAAGTTACCTTGTCCGCTGGCGTGGGTATCCACCATCGAATGACAGCTGGGAACCTCGATTGGGAACCTCGATCCCAGCTGATGGCTGATGTTGAGGGTCTCGTTCACCAGTACGACGAGACGCATCCGATTGGTCCTCAGGCACATCGGTAAACACGCGCTTTTGGCGCTTGTAGACGGATTACAAGTTTGCAATCATGTCCCGCATCTCAGATGAGATGTGTGCCCTTCCCCAGGGCGAACTTAGGGAAAACACGTCCCTATGTGCACGCTGCGAGTTGTCAACACAACTCGCACAAGGATCACCCCAAGCGAGGCAAGGAAATCCTGCCTCACTCGACAAACGATGCAGCCGGTACCTTGCACCGATTAGCGTTCGCTTTTCAAACTTAATGCGTACTGCTTCAGGTTTTTGGAGCCATCCTTCTCGACCAGAATTCTTGACATTTTGGACGAACGCGTTCCATGCAGCCAAAAGCAAAGCCTTGTCACGCTTTTAGTTGCCATTGTACCATCGATGCTTGAGGAAAGCATCAAGATAGAAGTCATCTTCAGCGCGAAAGTTCCTCGCGCTGGAGCTCAAGCCATGGAGCTCGCTTGCATCGAATAACGGAATTCGATGATGTTGGCTTGTCTCGTGAGACAAGCTTTTGATGAGCTGTTCAGGCAAACGCCATGGCTTCAGCTCTTACGCTTCGACGTGGTATCGTTGGCGGTACCACAAATTCCAATATGACTACGGATCGCGCCATCGTCAACGCGCTCGTGCGAGGGCGCACGAGTTAATCGCGGTGATGAGTAATCATACTCATCACCATATTCATCATCACTGCCGAACAGACTGTGAAGCATGTCGTGAGTCCGTTCGTTCGGCAGGTCTATTGGTGAGCGAGGGACCGCGGGTGAGCGCGATGTCTCTAAAGGCTTTTCTGAGTCAGGCACATCTGACTCGCCAGAGTAGCTGACCCCTAGCTCGAGGTCACTGTGTGCATGTGGTGCGATACCACATGCGCCTGCCGCAACACTTGGTTCAGGCAGAGAACGAGCAGTAGACGACGAACCGTCTGCCGCAGAGGCTGGCACGGTAGCAGACTGTGTCGTCTTTGAATCACCCCGCATAGACATGCTCACTATGCGAGGAAAAGTCAGAATGAATGGATCGGACTAACAAGTGCTCCCCGTCCCATTGAGTCCAATGGGTGGCCACAAAAGTTTCGATAGTCACACGGTGAATATTAGTTAAGGGGGGGGTGATGTAACGGGGTAGCCCGTCACATGAAATTGTCACTAAGGATAAAATGAAAATAAAGAATGTTACGTTGAATATTCTTTCAACAATTTCACAGAGCAAAATGATATTGTTGAGGATGACCGAAGGGTCTACTCATTAGTTGATATCGCGATGATATCAACCCACCAATCGCTGCTAGACGCGCGCAATGGGTGGTGATTAGACGTCATCATACGTTTAGTTAGATTAATATAATTAAGTCAGGATAAACAGAGAGATAAGATTGTTTGGACTTAATTGTACTAAATAACAGTTTTACTTTAACCAGAGACTAGAGTGTCCACTTAGTCTCCTTTCCTTCCTCTGTGTTGGTGCAATACTTAGCAGGGCACTGACTATCACTGTTGTCAGTGGAAGTGAGCTTCGTACTGGCCAACCAGTACGTTGTCACCAGTGCCCCGTTTCACGTGAAGTGTACGTGATGTTTCGAGAAACACGTGTACGACGTGTTAGCAAAGGCAACTTGTACTGTGTCAGTACAAGCGGAGGGTGCCCTGTTGCATTCTCCTTACAATAACACCTAAAATAAGACCCGTTCTGTATAATTCCTCATGTAGTAATATTGGTGGTTGAGAGCTGGTTGGAGCTGATCTACGTCTAGACTCCGTTTTTGGTATTCGGCTTTGTCGCACGAATGTCCATCTATATGCTACACCTCAACAGGACCGGAACTTCGAAACGGGTTCACCCCGTCTCACTCACAATTCACATGCTATCAGAGCGTGTCTTTTTTCGATCGCCGTGTTTCGAACATGCGCACGAAAATGCCAACAACAAGACCGTTCCAATGCACAAATGTGCCTGTTTGACATGTTGCTTCATCATTACCTACTCCGTGCATAGCCCCGATAACAATACTTAACTTAGACGTATTGCTCATCTCTACGAGCGTCATGACCAGCAGTATGACTCCAAATCTTAGTGACGGTAGGCTATGGAAGGTGATTGCGTCGACCAGTAAGAACGTACACACTTCTTTGCTGATCAAGAGCGCTATCTGGTCATGACAAATGCTGCATCCTTTGCACCACTCTTTCGGATATCATGTAATCGAACTGCGCTTGCGTTGTCAACGTATAGCAGCTGATATGTAAGAGTCTAAGCCTTTTCAGCTCGATCTGTCCGTCGTGGACGTTACCTTAATATGCGAATGATGTCGCACCTACAGCAAGTGTAACGCGCAAGATGTAGCGGAGAGGTTCTTTGGGTGCAGTCGCAAGGACGTGAGTGCTAGAAACTGAAATCAAGAGGCTAGGTCGCTCGTTCCTTCGTTTGTCAATGCTTTGGAAGACTTAGGTCGTGTGTGTGCAACTGCACACTGTCCGCTCACCGTCCGTGTTTCTGATCGAAAGCTGCTGATGAGTTCTCACTGTCGACTGTATACTTGCTCTGGGGTCAATCGCAGAAAACAGCGTGATCGTGGGAGATCGTGTGTAGGTCGCACTTTGTCTTTCGAGTCTCAATCTGGTGCCCATCACGCAACCGAAGGGCCTGCAGTTGGAGCAGTGTCAGCTGTGTGTTTGTCGAAAACTAACGATTCGGTCTGGGACCGATTCGTACTATGAGGTCAATTCGTTTGGGACAATTAACCGAATATAACCGGAGAGTCAAACGAGATGCTCCAACCCGTACCAAAACACTGAAGCAATCGAAACAGTAGGACTGCCCTATGAGAGCAGATGACCGGAGTAACGAGGTGCAGTTGCTACGCGCGTTCGTTGATGCCAGGAAGAGGGGTGTCGAAGAGGCCGAGAAGAGATACGATGTTCCTGCAGCAGTGAAGGAGCTGCGAGATCTGGCTTCCCCCTTGCTGCACCCAGAGCAGGTTACGCCAACGAGGAAGGTACTGATGATTTGCTTGCGTGTCGGGCCCGCGCTTTGACTGACTGCCGTGCTGCAGGACTTGTACTTGGGTCTTTTCTATCGTGACGTGGTGTCGTTTCTGCTCAAATTCGTGGCCGTTCATCTCGAAATTTGCTTCTCGGAGCGAGATCGGGCACAGGTGTTTGACGTCTTTTTCGATCGAAAAGTCGTTCCTTCGAGTCGAGCGATCAGCGCTCTCGTCTCGACGCTTTCTGCTATGCGAAACGATCCGGACAAGGCAAGTGAAATGGTGACGGAAGACTATAAGGTGTCGATTACGCAATGTGTCCGGCTGCTGGAGAAAATCGTCATGGCCGGTGGCATACAAGACATCATGACAGAAATGCTTGAGCATGAGCAGGTGTGCGAGCGTTGGGATTGACATACCTTAGTACCTCTTGTGACCATCTTCATTGTCATGTGCTAGCAAACGACAGTGGGTGGCGACAGAACGAACGCAATCGGCCAGCAGGTGCTCATCTCGCAGCTTTCATCGCTACCAGGTAACGTGCAATGCGAGTCAAGCGGTTTATACTGTGTTTTCCTGCTAAAAACGTGTAGCTGATCATTGTCATCAATCGTCCAGATCTCATCTTCAACCGATGTCAGCGTGATACCCCAGCTGCATTTCGCCCTCGCCGGTACTTTTCGACGCTCTGTGATGACTTGTTCTGCAGCCTCGTCCAGCAGGAGGTACATGTCAGTCGAGTAAACACCTTCCGTATGTTTGCGGACAAGCTGAAGCGCATTGGCCAAGCCCACATACTTGTCCAAAGCTGGTTGCGGTCTATTGGCACTTCATCGGTTGCTCCAAATAATCGGGCTTTATTCGAGAGCCTTCCAGAATCATGCCACGAGCAGATTTTGCTCCACATTTCCAACCAAATCATATCACGCTCTTTGGGTGTACGCCAAGCTCTGGCACATCCAAAGTACAAGCTTCTCGCCCAGATTCCACTCGCGTTGTGCGTCAATAGTCACTTCCAGTACGTTATCGCGCACAAGTTGCTGCTTCGGAAACCAATCGATGACTTTTTATTCTGGCGCGTGCTAGTCGACGCACTGGCGCAAGGTGGCGGTGACTTGTGCCAATCCCCGCTGATAACTTTATTCGACATGGTACTCGCGCAGTGGAGTCAGAGCGATTTTGCGGTCAGCACCGATTACACCGTGAACGCTTCAGTGTGCTTTTTTCTTCGCTACTCCTTGCAAAAGTTTGCAGCGGACAATGGGAGAGCAGTAATGGCGCAGCAAGACTGGGTCACAAAGCTGTGCAAAGGGGTCCAAGATCATATGAGTCATTCTCTAGAGAGTGTACGAGCGTTGGGCATGCGGGTCGGGGAGAGCCTATCACACGTCATCGCATCCGAAAAGCCACTGAATTTTGGCCTCGAAGGCGAAGACCCTGTGGCAATCTATGGATGCCCCGTGCTACCTACCGAACTCGAGAAAGACATGTTGGTACCGAGTGCAAATGCGAGTTCCGCCAAAGAAAAGTCAAGTGAGACTCCGTTTGCACGCGGCACAAGTCACTGCAAAGCGAATCGAATCCAACAAAAACAACCGAGAAAGCATTCAGCGAAAGCATTCAGTCTTGACCCGGACGAGTTGGTACTCAGTGACGACGATGGTGCAAATGCGTCGGATATTGATGGGGAATCTGAGGTTAGTTCTGACGGTGCAGATTCTGCCTCTGATATGAGCTTGGAAGCGTACGACTTACAGGATGACGAGGAAGACTTGACGGCGAAACGACCCCTGTATCTAAGGGACTTGATTGCTGGTCTCTTATCGGATGATGATCGCGAGAAAACCGAAGTTGCTTTGAACGAGGCCGAAACCTTGCTCCGTCGGCAGCCACGAGACCTAAACGACAAAGCAGTCGAGATCGTGAGGGCACTGGTACGACTGGAAGACAAGTACAACACGCTACAGTTCACGACGCTGCGCTCGCAGGCCCTTGCTACGGTGTGTGCGCTGGCACCAGCTCAAACGTTACCGTACATGTGCAGCCAGGCGCTTGAGCGAGAACAGTTGCTACAGTCCCGTATTGACGTGCTTCAGGCAATGACCTCGGCCGCTCAAGAGCTTTCCGAACGAGGTAGTGGCTACCAGTGCCCACAATTGCCCAAGAAACTGCTCCAAGACCAGACTCAAAGTAGCCTGGAGACGCGCACGATACAAAGTCTGAAAACACGTCGTTGGGGTTATCGGCGCGACCCGCTGGCTGCAGCAAAGAGGAACGCGTTTGCGCCGTACGCACTACAGTTCTTCTCGCCACTGCTGTTCGGGTACGTCCAGTACGTGCGGAAGCATTCGGTTGGTTCCGACACAACTGGGAAGTCTCGGAGTGAAGTCGAGCAAACGTTCCTGGCTCATTTGCTGCATGCCCTCGCGAGCTTTGTCGAGTGCAGCGGACAGGCGCCGCAGACAATGGCAATGGCCAAGTGTTTGCTGGAGTTTGTGTGGAGCGAACGCGCCAACACGAACGCTGAGGTGCGTCGCCAGGTGCTGTATGGTCTGAGCCGCGTGCTGCTGGTAGCGCCGCCAGCGCTGCTACAGCAGGAGATGGGCGAGACACTCGCAAAGCAAGTCGCTCCTTGGATTTGCCACACCCAGAAGCACGACCCTGACGCTGGTTGCCGTGAGGCGGCGCGGCTGCTGCGGTCGTTGACGTCGGCGCAGGTAGTGTCGCAATCGATCGCCTGAGGTCGCAGTCGCACAAAAGTGTTCATGGTCGTTGTCGACACAGCGAGTCATCAATCGTGGAACCCCACGAATGTCATTACCGAAGGGACACGACCCATTGTTTGCAAACTTGCTGGAAGTCAAACAAAACGACGACTGTAAGTACATAAAAAGCGTGTTTATCATGTGTATAGCTCGCGACGTTTGTATACGCTACCGCCATATGATTACGATATCTCGCCATGCTTTTGTCCGTTTTTACACTTTGTGTGATTACCAGGACAGGACCAATCACGTGGCGCAAATATTGGGTCCTCACGGTACACCTGCGCGCAAATCGTCCGTTGCGCCCCCTTTTGCCCGCCCCGATCCCTTCTCGAGACTCGCGCAGCCCCACCCGCGCTACGGGGGCACGAGCTCCACCACCGCGTCAACCCCCTCGACCCTCTCGACCCTCTCGTGCCACGCTGCTACCTCTAGCGACGGCGCTCGACTGACTGTCTAACTGACACTTCGCTGCGTGGACTAGCGAAGAGACGGACGACATGGCCGTCGTGGAAGGGTCGCCCGTGAGCTCTTCCAAGTTGACGGCACTGGGCAAAGCTCTCGACCAGACGTCGATCTCCAGTTTGGCGCATGGCGGCAGCGCGTCGTCGTCTGCGGCTTCGCACGGAGTGTCGAGTGACGTACGGGACGAGATGGGAGAAGAAGGCGATGAGGACAATGAGGACGACGACGACGTCATGGGCGACGTCAGACTCAAACTGCCGACCAAAGTCCACAAGAAACGCAGTCGCACCAACAGTTTGAAAAAGATGCTGCCCGCACCGGCTCCTCAGCGACCCAAACAGGTGCGTGACTTGGCGGTGATCCATTCGCCCCTGCAAGGGAGCAGCGGGACGGAGGAAGAATCCGCTACGTCGTCGTCGCCACGACCGCTGCACGAGTCACCTTCGTCGTTCCAACGCTCTCAAGCGCAACCTGCAAAGCTGATGGTGAAAGATCGAAAAGGGAGCGGCATGGGCGTCCCACGAGCACATTTAATACTCAACGCTGTCAAGCAAGCGCCGCCAGCAAAAGAAAAGTCCAACCCGAGGCGGTGGTCAAAGCAAGAGGATGAGTCGCTGAGGTTGGCAGTAGAGAGAAGCGGGGAACGCAATTGGAAGGCGATCGCTGACCAAGTGCCCGGACGCAACCACACGCAGTGTTTGCAGCGATGGACGAAAGTGCTGAAACCAGGTTTGATAAAGGTGCGGGTGGCGTGGTAGCAGGGTCGTTGCATCTGTAAGCTGTTGACAATTGCAAACGTTTGTTATTTTCTAGGGCCACTGGACACCTGAAGAAGACGAAAAGTTGCGGGAGTTGGTGGCGGAAGGCAAGAAGAACTGGGGCCAAGTTGCCTCACTTATTCCTGGACGAACGTAAGTGTGGTAGAATGGCGCTGGAAAATGCAATGCTAATCCTTTCTGCAACCCCAGTTCCAAGCAATGCAGGGAGCGCTGGTGTAACCACCTGGACCCGAATATTAACAAGGGGTACGTTCTATCCTCTTGGGCTCCGCGCAGACGGAGATGATGCTGATCTCTCGATATGCGTATATTGCAGCTCCTACACTGAGGATGAAGACAAGATCATTGTTGAGATGCAAGCGAAGTTGGGCAACCGTTGGTCGATCATTGCACAGCAGCTGAAGGTTTGACTAGTTGACTGCTGAAGCTCTTTGCGCGCATCTCGCGATGTTTCTTCATGTCATATGTGCTGAACGTTTTTTCTGGTACGCAATCGGCAGGGTCGAACAGAAGATGCGGTCAAAATCCGCTGGAAGTCGCTGATGCGCGGGCGTCGAGCGGCATCCAAAGAAGAGAAAATGCCGACCGCTTCGTCGCCCGTCGCTGCTATCGTTACGTCATCGTCACCCTTACCGGCAGATAGGGAGCGACAAAAGTTGAGGCCTTCTGAGACTAGTCCTGCTCGACAACACAGTCATGCCTCAGCAACTATAGCAGCTGACACGACAGCGCCGCGAGCAACGGAAAAGATAAAGCTTGGAGTGGCGTCAGAAAAAAAGGTGTACCAGACGCTACATGTGCTGGCGAGAATGGTTCGGCTAGAAGCAAGCCTGGCTCAGCGGTTGTGAAAAGTATGCAGACGTTGGCTCCAGCACTGCATTCTGATATGGAGACGGTCGTTGGCGGAACAAGCAATGCGATGCATGTGAATGATCTGGTGGCTGTGTCGATCCGCAACTTCCAGATGAGTCAGCGATTTCACCCGAGCTCTTCGGCGCATGCTGGCAACGCGACATATTCAGGCAGCCCCAGTCATTTAATGAGTGCTATCGTGCCAGGCATCCCACAATCTTCTGCCATGTATGCGATGGCTGAGGGAGGGACGGGGGCCTACAACTTGAACATGCGACCACGACAAATGCCGTTGCCACCACATCCGTCGCTGCTACACCAGCAACTTTCGCCATCGTACCAGTACCCGCCCGGATATACAATGCAGCAAAGCATGGGCGGAATGCCAAACTACGTGGTGGCGACAAACTTTCCTGCATCGAACCAGATGCAAATGCGGATGTCTTTACCGATGCCAGTAAGTCTGATGGAGTAGCGTAAACCTATGGAGTGGATGTATGGGTAAAGCTAATGCTGGCTTTTGCTACACGCACCAGGTATCGTCTCCGATGCAATCTATGCCTTCGGCACCAACATTTTCGTCTCAGGCCATGGCTATGGCAGTAGCGAGTGCTCAGTATCAGCATCTCCCACAACACGCGTCTGCTGTGCATCAAGGTTTCAGCGGCGCGCCACTTCATCCAAGAGCTGGGGCAACTGGAACCCCATCAGGAACAGCTATGCAATCTGCAACGCCACCTACCAGTAGTGGGCTTGCTGCGAACAACAGCAAATGTAGCGCTGGTGGAGCGGCGAACGGAAGTAGCGTGTCGACTGCTGGCCTTTCATTTTCACCGACATTGACAGCGGCAGCAGGCGCAGATGCGCATGAGAAAGAACTAAACACACCACGGGAAGAGTGGGGTTCTTCGCAGACTCCCCGGTCTCAGATGATCATGACAGAAGGTCACGCATCCGCTTACGAGCTGTTTCATCAACAACGGCTTCGTTTGATGCTACAGGAGCGAGACAAGCAAGGTATGACACTATCTTCCGCGCCATCACCGGGCCAGGCCTTGCTCACAAAGGAGCTGGAGGCCAATAAAGAGCGCCAAGCACGGCAAGCGATCATGCAGAAGGGGTGGAGAAGTGCCGTGGATTCTATGGTCTCCTTCAACAGCGTCAGCGTACGATCAGGATGTTTGATGGATTATGTTGACTCTGGTCTAATTCTCGATGCTTCGGCTGCACTTGTCACAGGATTTATCCACCTTGGACGATCAGCAGCGGTTTGACGGTCTACTTGAAAAAGTATCTTTGTCGGCTCTTGATCCAACAGATGGGCTGCTTGACCAGTCAGTTGACATTATTCCAGGAGGTACGCAACTCAACGTGATGCGAATGAAAATGCACGGGCAGCTGACGCTTGTTGTTATCGTGTAAATGACGACAGATGACACCGTGGATCTATGATAACACTATGCACGTATGACTTGATAGGAAAAGAGCACCGATCGGAAGGGCTACCTCGTTCCCCATATTATTTGTACATGGTACCGTGTAAGCTAAAATAATGCATTGATTTGGGAGAATGCGACATGCTGTGCTCCGACTATCGTCAATGGTTCGAGTACATAAGCGTCATCTAGTGCGTGCAAAACAGCAGCAGCGCACAGTCCGTTGCAAGCATGCTCATACTCTCCCGATAGTTCTGTGCTGACGTCAAACCGGTTGCAAAACCACTGGTGGACGGATGCTCCGTAGTGCAATCTGTCCCTGGTCAAGTGGGATCGTTGTTGTGACTGAGTAATTGCTCGGCATGAACGGGTATCAACACACATTGATTCGAAGTAGTAGCAGCTATCGTTTACCTGCGAAGCAGAGTATCCATGTGAGGTGCCCGCCATCTCGCATAACGTGATGCCCGTCGCTGCATTTTGATGTAAAACTTGACGTCAGGCGATACCGCCAGTAGAGCTGTGTTTTGACTGTCATGGCGCAGCGTTTTACTCGAGCTAATCCGAGTCGGCATTTCGTCGATAGAGACGCGAAAAGATTTGTCATCAGACGCCGACGCGAGTCGTCCGTTGTTGCCTTGGCATGTGAGATGCGTCTAGATGCTAAGACTGCGTGGACGATGCGTACGGCGATAACATAACTCAATCTGGCTATTGTATCGACAAGTGCTAGCCCGCAGTATGCCATCCGCTACAAATGGGAGTGCCGTACGCAAGAGCTGCAGCTTCCCCTCGACTTATTTTGGTGACACGTTCGTGCCATCTTGTACGCGAGTCGCATGGCCGTAACTGGAGGAAAGAGTCAAGTGTGATTGACTTGGTTCAAAGCTTGCTCTATCAGCACCGGTAGATAGCGTATGCACCAGCTCGTAGAGCTTTTGCCTGTGTGGGATCAGCTCTCGCGCACTTCCAATCGCGAGCCGATGTCAAAGCTAAATGATGGTCTCCCGACGGCATTCAGACGATGTAGCAGCACTCATCATCCGTGCTATAAGTCCCTCCCAAATTGAACGCCCTCGCATATTTGGCGGCAATCGAGTTGTTATGGTAGCACCATTCAGCTAGTCTGCTACCAAGCGCCAGGATCAAGGACACAAGCAGGATCAAATCGACAAAAGCCATGCAGTAGCTGAATCCAATTGTCTCGTCGCCAAATTCCACGATCGCAGCATAAGTAACTATCCCCCTTCCGACATTGTAGCATGGTAGACGTCGAGGTACAAGTTACTGAACAAGTACAACTCGTGCGTTTCGAACAGGATCGAAAGTCATGGAGAGACCATTGCTTTGCCTCTCATATAGACGACGTCCACCTTACGTCTGTTTCACGAGCTTACTAGGGATGACGCCACGAGACTGCGGGAACGAGAAGTAATGGCTGATTTCGATACGAAGAGATGCAGCGAGGCGAGCCCTGACGAAAGGTCGAGACAGAAATGCAGTGATGACAAATTGAGACCTTCTAGTTCTATCAATACACATTCGCTGACTTCGGACAGGATACCAGCGACCGAACCGTCATTCCACGAGGTACGCGCAGCGAGTGACACGTAAGTAGAGCAAACAGCAACAGTCATGCTGGTCACGCGTTGGATCGAGCTGATGTGGCTAAGTCGAAACGAATGATGACAGTTCCCCGTTACCCTCAAAATGGCCAATTCTAGCTTCGCAGCAGACTGCGATAGTCCAGGGTCAGATGTAGACGTACATCCAACAATCCATCGGGCATAGTAGATGATCGAAACAACATACCCGCCCGCCCTAGGGTGTCTTTGACGGCTGCAACGCTTGCAAGCGACGGCCTGGTTCGAAAGAGCTCTTCTTGATTTGTAGATGTGTTTATCCGCTAGAAAGCATGTAAACATCCGGTACGGCATGTAGCAGAAGCTGCAAGACATTCAGTCGAAGAAGTGCAAGCGACACGTATCATGTGCGCATGTAACTGAAGCCGCATCAGCTTGGACTCTTTTTCGTGTGCATATACAACGCATCTCACCTACTCCGACCTCGTGCTTACGAAGTGGCTTCTAGTTTGAGTAAAAACCATGACATTCGTGGTGCGAGTCACTTCAGTTTGGTAGTGCTCCAACTTAAACTCCGAGCACGGAGTCTCACCGTAGCATCTGTCACACTACTACGCAACAAGTCTCGACGTGAAATAGCGACGTCGCGGTTTCCAAATTGTCCAACGCCAAAGCAGCAAAAAGACAGTCGTACTTCAATCGAGTAGTAGCTGGTACGCCTTTGGGCGGACGAGAAGCTAGCCAGTCAGTTTGGCTCGCGGTACAGGAGAAATTAAATGTCCGTGACCGTGGAGGATGCAAGACAGAAAAAGGATAATTTGCCTGGTTACTGTGATGCAGAACGTATGATGGGGCCAAGAGCGTTCAGGCGATTTGCTTCTTTGAACGGCAGACGAAGGAGGTCACGGTTTGTATCGTTTATATGAGCGTGGGGCTTGGCAGATGAGCAATAGGGTGCAAAGAACGAGACGTAAACACATTAGTGTAAGCTGGAAGCTCAGCATCGAAAGAATTGCCCGATAAGATGTCTCGATGAGAACGTGATTGACATTCAAACGCCGTGTCTACTGACAACCAATTCAATGATTGCGCTGTCAATACTACCGTCGACACACGCCATTCGGTTTGCATAGCACTGTTGGACAAAAGTGCAAAAGCACATAGCATCATGTAGCAGCTTTCATCAATCATCATGCTCGTCTTCCCCTTCTTCTTCACGATCCTCATCATCGCCACCCTCCCCACCAATTTCCACGGTCACTGGCCAAGCAGCAACGGCATATAGGACGAGAGCTGTGATGGCACCGATTATAGCGTTACGAGAACCCTTTTGAAAAGCTTCACTCTGTTCCTCTTCTGTGTCTCCACGCCGTTCGGCTTCCTCCTTGCGTTTCTTCTCAGTCACCTCCGATGCAAGCGCCCGACGACTCCAGTCCAGGCTTCGATAAGGCTTCAAAAAGGCTACCTGCAATGGTGTCGACACCTTCCTCATGAAGACACAATTCGAGAAGGCGGTTGCAAAGCAATTGGCTTGGTTTTCTGAGTACATAGCCTCCACACTAAGACTCGCAGGCTGATCTTCCAAAGCACCAAAGTATACGTCGCGGACACGTTCTGCCATAGTGATCAGCAGTGGCGCATGCTGATGCACGGTAGCTGCTAGCTGCGAGTTACCAAGGACGTCAACAACATGTCCAAACACTGCGACATCCAGTGCACTCGGCTTGTCTCCGAAGAAATACGGCGAGCCACTTTTCTCCAGCTTCGTATTGAGCGCCGTGTAGCAATCGCGAGCAATGATGTACGCTTGCTCTTTTGTTGCGATGCCATACAAGCGGAGCTTCTCCATTGTGTCTAAATGCATTCTCTTCGGCAGATATAGGTTCAATGGAAAGGGAATGACGCGCTTCATCTGCGGTCGCGTGACCTCGTTGTATGTGGCGGAATCCACCCACCGACAAAACAACATAACGCGTCTCAGTTTCTCCGACACCATCGACCGATAGGCGTACGACTCGCTGCGCTGTGCGTCACTCAGGTCCTTGTCAATGTCTGCATGAAACTGCACGAGCGACCCCCGAAAAACGTGTCAACAACAACAATGGCCCCGAACAGCAACGACACGCAGGATCGGCATCACGCCACGAACCGTTTGCAGGTGCATGATGATCTCTTCGCTCGGCAGCAAGAAGTTGCCATCGCTCAGTTGAGGCAGTTCCCCTTTAACACCAAAAAAAACATCCCGTCAATCAACACGAATGCCACGACAACATGAAGTCGCTGCAGCGACTCTGTGTACCAATCGCCCCCTCGTTGCCCTAATTTTCAGCCCCTTTTGTCGCACCTGTAGCTTCGTACGTGGGGTACTTGGAGTTGTGCACGTGCAATTGGATGCCTGCGACACGCACGTAGGCCTGCACGTCCCACGCCGGCACGAACTGGTGCAGCACGAGAGCAGAGCCGAGCTCCTTGGAGGTCTGTGGCGTGCCCTCGATCGCCGTGACCTCCGCGAGATCGTCGTGGAGGCGGTCAACGTCCGGCTTGAGCGGGTGGAAGCGGTCGTCCGGGAACATTGTCGCGCTTTTGACTCGCTTGATGACGAGCGCTCGATGGGGGTCGACCGTGTGCGTGTGTGTGGCGCACTTCCTAGCGACATTCACACGACCTACACACGACGCACCTGCGCGCAACCTTCGCACGACATCCTGTCGGCCGTCGATGAACAGCGACGCACCCACACCACTGACTGCTGTTGTTTGTTGGACAACAGTCCATTAGCTCGTCGCAGCGGCCGCACCACTCTGTAGCCTGCGGGAGAGCGACGTCATGGCGGACACGGTGCAGATCACGATGGAGAAGATGGTGCCGGAGCTCGAGGACCTGCAGGTGCGCAAGATCTTCTCGGCAGAAGAGATCCGGCAGATCGTGGACAAGCGACGCGGCTTTGAGTACTCGCTGCGTCGCGTGCCGCTGCGCAAGATCGACGCGATGCGGTACATTGAGTACGAACTGAAACTGGACGCACTGCGCGCGGCGCGCAAGAAACGCATTGGGCTGGAAAAGGTCACTCTGGGGGACGTAGCAGGTGTCAAGCGAGTGCACAACATCTTTGACCGCGTGCTGTTCAAGTACCGCGGCAGCGTCGAGCTCTGGCTGCAGTACGTGGCGTTTTGCAAGCGAGAAGGCAGCAGTCGCGTGCTGTCGTCTGTGTTTTCGAGAGCGCTGCAGTCGCACCCGCGCAGCGCGCAGCTCTGGATCGAAGCAGCGTCGTATGAATTCAGTGTGAACCTCAACGTGGACTCGGCCCGCGTGCTCATGCAACGTGCTATTCGCCTGAATAAGCACCACCAGAAGCTATGGCTCGAGTATTTTCGACTGGAGCTACTGTACGTGCAAAAGCTGGCGATGCGTCGTCACGTGTTGCGTCTAGAGGACGCAGTAGAAAAGGTTGTGGACGATGGATCGACCGTGCTCATTGACGAGCTGTTGGAAGAAAAGGAGGCAGAAGAGGGAACGGTTCTGGACGAGATGGCTGCAACGGTTGAAGCCCGAAAGGCTGTACTTCAGGGAGCTATCGCGAAGATTGTCTACAATAACGCGGTAGTGGCCATTCCCGACGACGTGGCGTTCCGTCTCGAGTTTGTAAAGATTCGGGACCTGTTTGGCGTGTACACTGCTGCAGAGCTATCGGACTTTATTCTGCGAGACTGCCTCATAAAATTCCCGAACAGCGAAATCGTGCATGCTGCAAAGGCACTCCGCCCGTTGTTGGCGGTCGAAGACAAAGCTGCTTCTCGTGTGAACGAGTCTGTGGAAGAAGATAATGCCGATACATCGATGGAGGCTAATGGCCAAGCTGAGCAGCTAGTTGTGCACAATTTCGAATCTAGCGTGACAGAGATCGACACTGTCTCCATCAAGGAAATGTTTGCTGAGTGGATGATGACGCGTCTGGCTTCGTCCAGCCAGACAACGTTCCTGCTTGAGTACGCACGCGTCAAGCTCAGAGAATTTGCTCTCACAAGGCCGAGCACTCCGTCTCTCGCGACGAAGTATGTCGACTTGATCCACCGCACGAGCGGGACGGATGATGCGCTCATGGCTGTGCGTAACATTTGCGACGAGTGGCTCCCACAATCGTCGGAGATGTGGCTGCTGCAGTCTCAGCTCGTGCTCCATGCCGACCGTGAAGAAGCCGACACGGTCCATGCACCCTCTGCCAAACGTTGCCGAACGTCGCATGGATGTAGCTCGAAGACTGCCGTCTCGACTACCAACCCGTTAGGCGCTGCTGTGTTGATCTTGCAGACGGCATTGACGCACATTGCAACTGGAGACTATGACGCGCAGTTTGCAATTCGTAGCCGGCTCCTGCAATTGCTTGTAAGCATCGAGGAGACCCCAAGCGTCGTTGAGGAGGCATTCAAGGATGCCCTTGACGCCCAGAAACGTGGATCAATACACTGGAGCGCGTTGCGCCAGCAGTACGTGGCTTGGGCTGCCTGCCAACGGTCGCTGGACCACGTCCGCTCGTTATACACAAAGTTCATGGTGGATGAGCAGCTGATGCCGTGTCCGGAGACGTATGCTTTCCTGTTGCTATGCGTGGACATTGAGACGTCAGACGTGTCGATAAGCGTCGTGCGAGTGCGCAAGCTATTCGAGAAGCTGGTGGACCTGTTTGGCTCGACGCATGAAGAAGTGTGGGTGCTGTACGTGCGTTGCCTTGTGGAACGCCTGGGGCTATTTACAGACGCGACGCGCATTCAGCAGCGTGCGCTTCGCATTTGGAAAGAGTCTCCAGCGCTCATGCAGCTCGCGGCCACTGGTATGTAACGCGATCCCAAGTCCATTGGCATGCAACAATAAGTGGCTAAATAGACGTGGCACAACACCTCATCATCGCATTCGTTACCGCAGCACCGAGTTATTGTATCCCTATTGAAAGCCACGTATCGGGCACAACGTGCACACGTGGCGTGTGTCGATAGCACTCAATCCGCTGTAGTGAGTGTATTGATCCGTCGTCGTCACTTCGTAAATGCTTCCCAGCCGTCGCTTATCGGGCTTCAAACTGGATGAGACGTTTCGTACGGGCCTTGTACATGATGCGGTAGCCACACGCACGGCAGCGAATGGGGTCGCGCGCCGACAGGTAGTTCACGATGCCGCAGTCGCCACAAATGTACTTGATCTCCGCGTCCTTGACCATCGCTGCGCTGGCGCTGGAGCTGGCCGCGCCAGCTGCTGGGGTCGCTCCGCCATCCATCTTCGAGACACGGTATGAGAAAGAATGACTGGTCAGCTAAGTTCGCCCGCGGGGTGCAGCCCGCACTTAAGCGTACTCGGCCGCCAAGTCGCCGCCATGGATCGATTGCTCATTGGCTGAAAAGGCCACGCACACTTTCAGTGGTCTCGCCGCTTCCAACCCATTCAGTCCTTCATTTGTGCATTCGATCGACCGATCGACCGACCGACCGATCGATCGACAGCTGCCGACCATGAGCACGATGTTGAGCGCCATGCCGACCATGTACGTGCTCTATCTACTGACGTACAGCGACGGCACACGCTCACGCTTGTTCTCGTCCACTCACCGTACGCTCGTGCTGCACGCTGCTTTTGTATCTGCTGTTGTAGCCTCTGCTGCCTGTGCGCGACGCCCATCGTTGCGAACGCTGCGAATACGTGCGTGAGCTGTCTCAAGTCGCAAGTCGACGTGACCGAAGGCATTCCTAAGGAAGTGATTATCCATCAATGCCGTGGCTGCATGCGGTGGTCCCGTCCGGCTTGGGTAGCAGCCGAGCTCGAGTCCCGCGAGCTGCTGGCCATGTGCCTCAAGAAGATCAACAACTTGAACCGTGTGAAACTCATTGACGCCAATTGGATCTGGACAGAGCCTCACTCGCGACGGCTGAAGCTCAAGCTCACGGTGCAGAAAGAGGTCTTGAGCAAGATGATCATGCAGCAGTCGTTCGTTGTGACCTTTGTCGTGCGCAACCAGCAGTGCGACGCTTGCCAAGCCTCATTCGCCAACCAGTCATGGCGTGCCGTCGTGCAAGTGCGTCAGCGCGTGGACCACAAGCGGACGTTCTTTTTCCTGGAACAGCTTATCCTGAAGCACCGTGCACACGAGAAGACTACGAGCATCGAGTCGCACCCAGACGGTGTAGACTTTTTCTTCTCAGAGCGCAACCACGCGCTGCGTTTTGTGGACTTCTTGCAAGAGTCTGTGCCGATGAAGCTGAAGACTGCGAAGAAGCTGATTTCCGCTGACAACCATAGCAACACGCACAACTACAAGTTTACATATGCAGTGGAGATTGCGCCGGTGTGTAAGGACGACTTGGTGTTGCTACCGGTGAAGCTGGCTCAGATGTTGGGCAACATTTCGTGCCTCTGCCTTGTGCAATCCGTTTCCTCTTCTATCCACGTGATTGACCCGATCACCACCCAAGTGGCGGAGATCGATTCCGAAAAGTACTGGCGGTACCCGTTCCGCGGCCTGCGCTCAATTAAAGCCATGACCGACTTTACAGTGTTGGACTCGACTCCGATGGCGATTCCGTCAGGTGGTGGCCGTGCCATTCGCGTGACTCGGAAGACCCGACTTGCTGAATTGGAGGTTGTGCGTGATTCGGATTTTGGTGTGAATGACACGCGTCTCAGCACTGTCAGCCACCTTGGCATGATACTACATGTCGGAGATTCTGCACGTGGCTACGACCTTACGACTGCTGTATTCAACGATTCTGACCTGACTCCGCTTGTTCAGATGGGAATGTCGATGCCAGACGTCGTGCTTGTCAAGAAGGTGTTCCCGCGTCGGATCCAGAAACGCGCGCGCAACTGGAAGCTGAAAAAGATGGAGGGTGTCGAGCAGGTTGGTCCGGTTCGCAAGGCTGACCTTTCGAAGGACGAGCAGGACTATGAGCAGTTCTTGGACGAGCTGGAAGAGGACAAGGACATGCGCTCTCAGATCAATCTGTACAAGGATGAGGCCAAGCCGATTTCGACGAACGACGCGATGGAGGAGGACGATATGGGGGCCCCGAACGTGGAACTGCATGAGCTGCTGGACGATCTGGTCATGAAGGAAGATGACCCGACTCCGCAACTTTTGTCAGAGACTGAAGCGAACCAGGCCAGAGCCTGGGAGCTTGAGGAGCTGTAAGACGCGATGCTCTTTCGACTTCCCCGTCACTAGACATTACCTCGATGTATCAGTACGCCTCGCTTCAGACTAGTGCATCCATTTACTGTGTCCATTCTTGTAGCACGCAGGCTGCACGATCGAAGTTACATTCCCCAACATATTCGACGTTCATTTGTTTGCTTTGTTCAACCTCTTCACATGCGTTTCACAAACTACATCTGCAAACACATCGAGTCGAGGACGTTTCAGCGACGCCAAACTTGGACGGGGAAGAACACCGCCACTGCGTGAGCCTTTTACGTGGCCTCAGGAATCACCCAGTTCGCGGGCACGGGACCGACATCGTTGATGATCTCGCGGTGGCAAGACCACACCATCTTAATGGCCTCAGGCGTACCGATACCGCCTGCGCATGGGTCACCGGCAGGGCCGAACCAGTGGTTCTGAGGCGCACCCGTTGTTCTAGCACGGATGCCGCTGTAGGTCGTGCCGTTCACCGTAGCCGCAAGCACTTCGTGGGTAAACTCCAGGTCGTTCGAGACCACAGCAGCGGTCAGGTGAGCGTCCATACGCTCCAAAGCATCTAGGACATGGGGCAGCTCGTTGTCATCGTACTCGGTCAGAATCTGGAAAGGACCGAAAATCTCGGTCGTCACGAGCTCAAAGTTCTCCGGCTTGATAAACTCCTTGAGCGGAACAAAGACAGCGGTGGGCTTCACCGCACCATACTTCTCCGGAATCGTGTGGTTCTCTGTAGAGCGCAAACGGAACACATCAGCAAGTGGATGACTTTGCAGTCGTACAAAACAGCCGAGCAAATAACGTACCAAGCTCTTCAGCTCCAAACGCAACACGCGCGCCTGGAATCTTCAACAGAGCATCAACGTGATCGAGCATACGCTTCGTGGTGACCGTCAGCACGGGGCCAATCGTTAGATCCGACAGCTTTCGTCGAGAAGCGAGTTCAACAAGCTTCTTCTCCAAGCCAGCCTTCGCCCAGTTCTTGTGCATGAACAACACGGACTGCGCCGAGCATTTCTGTCCAGAACAAGCGTACGCGTCCTGGCATAGAAACAAAATCGTCAGCTGGGACGCGAACGGAACAACTTTCACGCGTCGATGGATTGTATGCACGTACCTGATCAGAAGTCCATGCGACGTAATCAAAGTCAGTAACGTCTGGACCGAGCACCTTCCAGTCAAAACCTGCATCTTCCAGCTTTATGCGACCGTTCAGGTCCTTTGCAAGCTTCTCCGCAACAGCTTGCGATCTACAAGTCAATAGCGGATGCGTGAAATCAAAGTCAGCGAGTTTCCACGAGCCGGTTGCAACACAAAACACTCACCCAGTGAACAGCGTGTTGCGTGGCTTGATTTTCAACAGCAGTTCGTTCATTGCCGCGCCATCCGAGTTGATGAAATCCACGTCGGTCATGGGCATCCCGCACTCGTGCAGTAGGCGCAACGTTTCCTGCATGACGATCGACACCTTAGAGTCGACTTTCAGTAGCACCTTGTTGCCCATGAACAAAGCACCCATCATCTGCAGCACAGGGATCTCAATGGGAAAGTTAAACGGCGTGATCAGTGCCACAGGACCATACGGCCAACGGTAGCCGTGGCTCGCTTGCCCCTTGTGATCGCCCGGTACACCAAACGAGCGCGCGAGGAAGCGCACTTGGTCGCCCGAGAAGTTCTCGAGGAACTTGCCCGTCACTTTCACTTCATTCCGAGCCTGGAAGTAACTTTTGGGCGACGTGCGCTGCACGAGCTTTGCAAAGTAGTCGGCCACGTGCTCTTCTCGGAACATGGCGCCCGCCTTGGCACAGACCTGGCCGTACATAGTGTAGCGCTCGACGTTCTTCAACGGGTTGTGCAGGCCGTGCTTGGGGCAGCTCGTCATGCTCTCGACAAACGGCGCCAGCTCGTCCTTCTGCGTCAGTGGCATAGTCATGAACGCCTCTCCATTCAGCGGGTCGAGGATCGTCTCGGTCCTGGCGGTCTGCGTCCACTCGCCGTTCACTGTCAAGAGTCGCAGCACGACGTGAGCGAGAACCCCTCAATTGGAATAACCTCAAGTACAATCATTCGTCGCAGTCACGCACCCAAGTTGAAGCCAGTGGCGGGGTGGGCCCCGCTACAGTTCGGGTCGACCGTCGCGAAGGACGGCAGTGACGACGCAGAGCGCGTTGCGATGGAGCTGCGACGCGAAGCTGCTGCGAACGACGCGCGCAAGGGGATCGACGTGCGCAACATCACTGAGCAAACGCGTTCCTATAGATGTCAACGAGCTTTTGGGTCGCGATGTCAATGGTGCAATGGACGGAATGTGGCTTTCGATGGTCTCTCGGGGGCGACAATCGAGACGAAGCACGTGGAACGAAAAGTACATGTTATTCATTGCTACGATTATTGCTATGATACAGATGTGGTCGAGGCGAGCTGATCGATCGCATCAAGTCGGAGGACATATCAGTTCTTGGAGGTTGATTAGACGTTGGTGGCGTAGCTCGTGTGCACCACGCTATGTTTAGACGAAAGGCCACTGGACGGTCAAAAAACAGACACGTCCGTTATGTTCCGTACGTACGAGTCGCATCGTTTGTCGGCTTCGCTGGGGCGACCGTCGGGGCACCTCACGTGGTCATTGATCCGAGGCATTTGGTTCATGTGGTGGACATCACAACTGAGCGTCGGCCTTCACGAGAGTCTGTGCTTGCAGAGCTGACGAAAGTCGTGTGGCGGTTGTAGTGGTAGTTAGTACCTGATACTCGAGGAGCGACTCTGCAGTATGGCAGTAGCAATCCCCTTCAGCTTTGCTGGGGTCGTCTGCGCCATAGTGAACAACAATTTTATCTGCATGCGGCAAAAGGTGACTGCCAAAAGAGCTGACCGTTGAGCCCTCAGGTCGCTGTCATCGTAGCAAGAACAGCAGTAGGCAGTGCCACAATCGCACACCGACGGCCGACGGCTCCACGCCGCACCAACATGTCTCTGCTTTCTTTGTCAGCAAATAGACTGCAACTGTGGTAGTGGCCATCGGTGGCGCAATTGCGTTCGACGGGGTCGTGCACGTTGGCGCAGTGCAGCATTGTGATCTTGCACGGGTTCGTTCGATCCGTCGTCACTACTGTGCCGATAAGTTGAAGCCGACGAGGGGAATTGAAAACTGTTTCCTTGCGAGACAGTCGACGACTTTCCTCGCGCGGGTCGCAAAAGTACGACGTTGCATTCAATTTGCGCGATACGTCGCCCACGAAACGAAACGGATCACTACAGTACGGATGACGGCCTCGAGCGCTGCTGCTGTCGCCGTCCGAACGACAGTGTCCAGGAACAGATTCAGGGCCAGTCCGTGCAAGCGGCACGTGCCAAAACTGCTACTACGTGCGCAGTGCCAGGTGATCGACCTGGGACAACAGGACTACTCATGTGCAGGGGGCGCTGGCGTCTCATAGCTTCGAGACGGCAAAAGGAGCAAGATCTCTTGATCGTGCGCAAGCACATATACTTGGCAGGTAGGTCGACCCCACCATCGAACCGTCGCGCCGAGCTGTTACGACACGTGCACGTACTTTCTTACCATGGGTGGTGGTGGTGGCCAGTTCGCGGCGTCTGGTAAGCTTTGGTCCAACCTGCATTGCTGGTGTACAGAAATTAAGCCTGCCCACGTGCCTCCCTCGGTCACATATCTCGGTCAGAGTTCCGATGCAGTTTTCTGCCGTGTGTATGGGACGCTCGGACGTGTCAGTCAGCTCTTGAGCTGCAAAAATTAACACACTCATGAAAAGCCAAGCAACGACGGTGAACTGTATCAAAGTCGTGCAGAAGATCAGTGCTCAAAACATAACGCGCCGCATGTAACAATGTCGTTACGAGCGCACGAGTTTGTATTGCACGTCAACGTGCCCATCCAGAGGGGCGGGGCGACGTGAGCAAATGTCAGCAACTTTGACCGCTTGATGGCGATGCAGACAGATGCAGGTACGACAAGAAGCTTGCGATTTGCGCTATCTCAATTGCCCCCAACGAGACAATTTTGCCCGAGTTGTCTGTCGACGTAGGGATCAAACAAGCCACCAAGAGGCAACTTGCTTGCTTTCAATTGCGAAGCCTTCCTTTGCAACTAAGACGCATGGCCGCGATCTCGGTGAACACTTTCTTGAGGGTGGCAATCAGCTTACTTGATCGATCCCTTGCTTCGAATGCCCATTATTTGCTTCAATCGAAATACTAGAATCAACCGTCTACAAAAGGCAGGAGCTATATAGGCTTGTCGCGCGAGCGAATGGTCGTGTCGGCGAATCTGGTGCGCTGGTCGCTGTGATAAAGTCTCATCATGGCGACGACCATAAATGTTGCGGGAAGCTGTCGATGGGTTGAACCGCTAATTTGCATGGGACACACGTTGCGTGCTCGGCTTTGAACCCAACTTGAAGCCAGCGCTTTGAACTCATACGATAGATATACACTAGCTGGTGACATGACAACACCAGCTTCACTACGTATGCGAATGCCGTCGACACGACAACCACGGCGATATAATCAGCTTAGCATACCCTCTGTGTCGTTATGTATGCCGTATATACGCGCTTGGCATGTTGACGACTCCAGTAGTTCTGAGCCCAAAGGCTCATGATTCACGAAACCCTCCTGATATAGGCAGTTCCACCTCTGTGTGAATGGTTTGTGGTTTAGAGACTGAGCGCTGTAGCCTCTCGACTTATTGGCCTTGTACTATGCTTAGTATGTGGCGTCTTGCCGTCTCGGACAGCCTGGACAGACAGATTGTCACTGATGGCAACGGGACTTCCGCCTGGACCTGATAATACTAGTCTAGTGTTATAATACTAGTCTAGTGGACCTGCTGGTTTCCCGATGTGCTACGCAGCGGATGTCCCAAATGCTCACTGTCAACATGTTACGGGTTGCCGACATATCGGGGTACTGCTGAATGTGGGATACTTGTAATCCACTCAACCCGAACTACACGATGTAACGGGGCACTGTTGACTACGTACTGGTTGACCAGTACGGAGTATACTTCCACTGACGACAGTGGTCGATAGTGCCCTGCTAGGTGTTTTAGGGAAAACACAGAGGAAGGAAAGGAGACTAAGTAGTCAGACTAGTCTCTTGGTAAAAGTAAAACTGTATTAATATTATTAAGTCCTATAACTACTTGTATCTCTGTTGTCCTGACTTAATTATCCTAATATAACTATATGTATGACGACGTCTACTCACCACCCATTGCGCGCGTCTAGCAGCGATTGGTGGGTTGATATCATCACGATATCAACCAATGAGTAGACCCTTCGGTCATCCCAACAATATCACCATGTCTTGTGATATTGTTAGAATAATATTAAACGTAATATTCTTTATTGTCAGATTGTTTTAAATGACAATCTCATGTAACGGGCTACCCCGTTACGTCACCCCTCCCTTATCTGATAGTCACCGTGTGACTATCGAAAACTTGGTGGCCACCCGTTGGACACCACTGGGACAGGGAGCACTTGTTTGGCCAGACCCATTCACTCCTGACCTTGCCTCGCATAGTTAACATGTCTATGCGAGGTGATTCGAAGACCACACAGCCTGCTGCTGTGCCAGACTCTGCGGCAGACGCTTCGTCGTCTGCTGCTTGTTCTCCGTCTGCAGCAGAAGGTGCTGCAGACGCACGCGGTATCGCACCACGTGCACATTATGACCTTGTCAATGAGGTCATCAATTCTGGCGATTCAGACGTGCCTGACTCGCGCAACGTTCCAGAGGCATCCCGATCATCGGCGGTGCCTCATCGTTCGTCAAGTGCAATGTCGAACGAGCGGACTCGTGAAATGCAACACAGTCTGTTCGGCAGTGATGATGAACTCTATGGTGAGGAATACTGTGCCTCACTAGTATCAACTCGTGCTTACCCGCACGAGCGTGATGATGATGGCGAGAGCCGTCGTCATTCTGAAAGTCGTGGTACCGAAACAGGTACCACATTGAAGCGTGGTGAGCTGAAGCCGTGGCGCTTGCCCGAGTAGCTCATCAATAGCTTGTCTCACGAGACAAGCCAACACCATCGAATTCCTTTATTCGATGCAACTGAGCTTCATGGCTTAAGTTCCAGCGCGAGTAACTTCCGCGCTGAAGAAGACTTCTATCTCGATGCCTTTCTTAGGCATCGATGGTATCATGGTAACCAAAAGCGTGACAAGAACTCGCTTTTGGCAGCGTGGAACGCCTTCGTTCAAAATGTCAAGAATTTTGGACGAAAAGGATGGCTCCAAAAACTTGAATCGGTACGCCTCGGGTTCGAAAAGCGAACGTCAACCGGTGCTAGGTACCGGTTGCATCGTTTGTCGAGCGAGGCAGACATTCCTTGCCTCACTTAGGGAGATCCTTGTGCGAGTTGTGTTGACAACTCGCAGCGTGCACATAGGGACGTGTATTCCCTAAGTTCGCCCTGGGAAAGGGCACACATCTCGGCTGAGGTGCGGGACGCGATTGCAAACTTGCAATCCGTCTACAAACGCCAAAAGCGTGTGTTTACCGATAGTCCCTCGGACCAATCGGATGATCCTCGTCATATTGGTGAACGAGACCGGGCACATCCATCATCAGCTAAGAGCGGGGCTCCCAGCTGTTCCACGAGGGTGGATACCCCCGCCACTGGACGAGGTAACTCGTCCTTGATCCTGAATCGTCACGGTGGTTCAAGATACGTTTCACTAGAAAGCGTTGACCAACGTGTGAGTCCACCAAAGGATCTGGCGGAGGAGGAAAGACCTCCTCCAGATCGTTCTGCTCACCATCTCGATCCTCACGAGATGGATCGCGCAATTGTTAAATTGCGCGATGATTTAGAGCACGAGAGGGACAGACGTTACGCTCTGACTGACTCTTTGCGGAAGTACCGCAAAGAGCACGAGGCGAACCGCGCGAAGGACCGCGCTGAGTATGCGGTCGCATAGCTTCAGGTCGAGCGCGACGTCCGCTCCTTCTTTGGCGAGCTGGCGACAGCTCGCGGAGAGATCTCTCAGTTGTGTTCTGAGGTCTCTTATTTACGCGTCCAGACGGACCGTCTGGAGCGTGAACGCAAGAACTTGATGGATGTTCTTGAACGTGGGGGCTATCTTCATCGGAAGAAGAAGGCTCGTACTGACAGTACGGCCTGAGCCTACCCACGTAAAACGTAGGATGCGTGCGCATCTTACGTGGCAATTCGATCATGTATGCATTGCCTTTGCGGTGCAACA